ATCAGAGGAAATTTGTATTAAGACGTTGGTCATATGAAATAGATATAACTGGTTGTTTTTAAGAAAGGGTTCGATTTCATGTAAAATTTGCTTAATGCCAGATCCTTTAGATTTGGGACTTAAAGAGCATGTAGTTAATTTATTATAAGGTTTGATGTGAACAGACACGGTCTGGGTCCTCTTGTTAAATTTTAACTGAGACATTTTTCAGATTATTTTTAGGACATCACTACTTTTTTGTTTCACCATAGATTTCTTTAAAAACTTTTAAGCGATAACCATTTAATTTCTTTACAAAAGTCATCATTTGGAATTCAGAAATATACTGTACCCTAAAAAGAGCTGACACTGTCTGGAAAGAAGAACCCTTCTTCTTGGCACCTTTCTTTCCACCACCACTGTCTGAAAAATAAAATAGAGAAATTACAGTGATTTGCAATAGCTTTGTGAGTACTCTCCATAGACATTAGAATAGTCAAAATTCCCTTTCTAATTTAAATTTGCACTCATTCATTTGTATTATTTCTATTCTTTTCCTATCTCTCCTCCTTCAACTCTAGATTGGAAAATATAAGCATTGGCTTGCATTATGAGTATTCAGGAAAATGACAGCATGAAAAGAACTGTCGAGAAAGGGTAGAGTTGGGGGAGGGATGGGATTTCTTTAATGCAAAGAAGCAAAGTCTATCTCCTGGAGGAGTGGCCAGGGAGACAGAGTGCTAAGGCCTCCTTAGGGCACACATCCCCCAGAAAACAGGCAGGTTGCATGCTTGGTCCTAAGTAGGTGAGCCTCTGCTAACCTGCAGGGAAGTCCTATTTTCTGTTAGCCTGTGCTTTCCTAGGCGTACTTGTATATCTGGTCTTAAGTGACTGAAAAGAGCAGAACTTTAATTTCTTAAGCACTAGTGCCCTGACAAGAATTTCCTCTTCAGCTTAGATGGATTCTTGAAGGAATCAATACTATTAAAATGATAGAAATGAGATGTATGATTCTGAGCTGTCACTTAACTTCTCTGAGTCTCTATTTTCTTGTTGAAAGAAAGCCATGGACTAAATGGTCCGTAGTGTTAATTTTAGTTCTGGTCTATGACTGTAAGACCCTACCACAATTATTAAATGTCCTTAATTTCATTAGATCATATTGGCCAGTATTTTCACGTTAGCTTTTGCTATAATTATATCTCTAATAAATAGTGTATTTCTTATTTGTGCCTCTAGAAGCATATTTATGATATTAAAATGCCCATCAATAGATAAGTGGATAAAAAGTTGTGGTGTGTTTACATAATGGAATACTAAGCTGTATTAAAAAAAAAAAAAAAAAAGGAAATCTCACCTTCTTGAATAGTATGGGTGGACCTGGAGAGTATTATGCTAAGTGAAATAATCCAATCAGAGAAAGACAAGCACCATATGATCCCACTTATATGTGGAATCTAATGAAAACAATAAACTAACAAAATAGAAAGAGACATAGATTCGGAGAACAGACTGACAAATGTCAGGGGGGATGGAGGGGCTGGATAAAAAAGGTGAAGGGATCAAGCAGAAAACCCCAAAACTCATAGACACAGACAACAGTATGGTGACTACCAGAGGGAAGGGGGTTGGAAGAGATAGTAGAGAGAGTAAAGGGAGGATAAATGGTGATGGAAAGAGACACAATGCAATATACTGATGATATATTAGAGAATTGTGCACCTGAAACCTATATAATTTTATTAACCAACTAGAGGCCCGGTGCATGAAATTCATGCACCAGGGGAGAGGGGTGGGGGAGAGGGGCAGAGGGGGAGGCCCTTAACCTGGCCTGCACCCTCTCAAAATCCAGGACCTCTCAGGGGATGTCCAACTGCCAGACATCACTCTTGCAATCCAGGACACTGGCTCCTAACTGCTCACTTGCCTGCCTGATCGCCCCTAACCATTCACCTGCCTGCCTGATCACCCCTAACCACCTCTGCCTGCCTGCTCGCCCCTAACCATTCACCTGCCTGCCTGATCACCCCTAACCACCTCTGCCTGCCTGCTCGCCCCTAACCATTCACCTGCCTGCCTGATCACCCCTAACCACCTCTGCCTGCCTGCTCGCCCCTAACCATTCACCTGCCTGCCTGATCACCCCTAACCACCTCTGCCTGCCTGCTCGCCCCTAACCATTCACCTGCCTGCCTGATCACCCCTAACCACCTCTGCCTGCCTGATCGCCCCTAACTACTCTGCCTGCCTCCGTGATCACCCCTAACTGTTCGCCTGCCTGCCTGATCGTCCCTATCCACTCACTGGGGGGCTGCCTACTGGGGTAAGGGCCATGGTAGTTCTGGTCTCTGGTCCTTCTGGTCACTTGGCTTTTATTATATAGGATGTCACCTTAATAAATTCAATTTAAAAAAATGACCTGCTTCAGCAGTTGGAGCCCCAGAGAAGAGGAGAGACAGAGTCTTCAATCCAGACTTCTGGTACAGGCCAAGCACAGTCTCATTCAAGGGGTCCTTGTTCTTGTCCAGCCAGCCGGCAATGTTGTAGTCCACGGTGCCCGCGTAGTGCACCAGCGAGAAGTGGGCCTCAACCTTGCCTTTGACAACCTTGGGCTTCTGGAAGTTGTTGGACTTTCCAAGATGCTGTTCATACAGCTTGTTCTTGAAGGAGGCGTCTGTGGCCTTGGGGAACATGCACTCCTCTTCCAGGATGGAGAAGATACCCATAGGCTAAGAGTAGAAAAAAGGTATAGTAGGTGTTGAGTCCCTCAGAAAAAAATACGCTCCAATAATTTATGTGCTTGATGAAAACCTGAAAATATAATGTTCCAAAAGTAGATTTAGAATGATAAGAAATTAAATAGGCATGATACTAATTTATTGCCTTCTCTTCTACTGAAATCTTAAATAATCATGTACCAAGGACATAATGGGAAATACGTTTTCTAAAAAGATTCCATTTTTTTTAAAGCCCACAGGTGCTGCTTTATAAGTTTCATGTTCAGAGTAGAAAATTAAATTCTGAAACTGCCATTTCACAACTGAATTCTTTCTTCCATAAATGTACATATCTAAGTACTTTCTTCTCTACTGACAGTGAACTTCCTTCACCTCAAATATAGACATGATGAAAGTATGAAGAGAAATTACGGATAATGACTAGAAATGATCCATTCCCAGGAGAAAAGTGCATCTCATGTGTATCATTAAAACTATTTGTACTGGAAGCTATGTTCCCCACAACTGTGGAGTTAAGTGATACTAATATGGTTTTGCTGTGTAAGCAGATTGACTCTTTTCAGTGGCAAATTTTATATGAAAGCCTGATTTAACATTCAATATTCATGATTTTGCTTTAGTCACAAATTGTCTCCCAAAAACTATTTTGGGTATTCCAGAAACTGAAATACTACAGAAAAACAAATGCCTTTTCTGAGGACTATATAGTTTTGATGAATAGTAGAGATATTGTGTCACCAAAGTAAAATACTTTTCCCCAAATTGGGCAGACTTAGTCTGCTTTTATGCTCTCATCTCTCATATATTTATGAATTTTGACATTAGTATTTGAAGTTTTCCTACATGGCAATAGCATTTACTCTTCCCACTGATTAGAATAGGGTTCATACATAACAATATGCCTTATTGCTATCAGTAGGTATATGATGAGTTCCCACTCCAGTTTTGAAAGTGTTTTGTGATTGCTTGATGAGTTTTAACATCTTCATAACTGATAGAACTATTTCTCTACCCCTTGATAATGGGAAATTTAGGGGTAATTTCCAGATAAGGCTATAGAAAGGCTTATTTATTAGTCATCATCAACTTACGCAGTAGTCATCATAGTCTTAATGACTGCAACAATTGAAGAGTTAACTTTCCAACCTTTAAGACATCTTGACATATCCTGCACATGAAGAATTACACATGCACAATACACCATCCTGGGTTCACTAGAGGGAATTACAATACTCAGAAGACTAGCTGTAATATCATTCTTTTCTTCCATATGCATAAGATCATCAGTAGATTAGTGAATTAAAAACCATGGTATATCTACACAATGGAATACTACGCTGCAGTAAAAAAGGAGTTCTTACCATTTGCAACAGCATTGATGGAACTGGAGAGCATTATGCTAAGTGAAATAAGCCAGTCAGAGAAAGATAAATATCTCATGATCTTACTCATTTATG